ATATTGCAAAATGCTATGAAGCCGAACGAGAAAATAAAGTTAGCAAGTTTGTTCGATAAAATAGAGTCACAACTTCGTGCTCTCGAATCTCTTGGTGTGACAACGGACAGATGCGGCGCCATGTTGTACCCTCTCGTCGAATCGTCGTTGCCGGAAGAATTGTTACGCACATGGCAGCGGAATCAAGTGACGCCATCTGCGCCACAGCGTATGGGAGAGGAGCCACCGCCGAGAGAAAATAGACTCACACGATTAATGAAATTTCTACAATCCGAAGTCGAAAATGAAGAGCGCATAACGATCGCGGTAAACGGTTTTGACATGAATGAACGGAAGCAGTCAAAAAATAAACAACGCTCGGAATCCACTAAAAATACGCCTTCTGCTATGAGTTTATACGCGAGTGGAAAGGTTACTAAACCTACCGTGTGTGTGTTCTGCGAGAATGAACATGCAAGCATGAAATGTGAGAAAGCACGCAAAATGACGCTGAGTGACAGGAAATCGGTGTTGCAAACCAAAAATGCGTGTTTCAACTGCCTGAAGATCGGACATCAAAGCCGTATGTGTCGCGGAAATCTGAAATGTGCCTTATGCAGTCGTCGTCATGTTGTGTTAATGTGCCCGGAGGTTATGGGCGACCGTAATGTAGCGCCGTCTCACAAAGCAGACGGATGTGATGTCAAAGATGAAAAGTCGCTACTCAGTCACACAAAAGGGCCAGAAGTGATACTGCAGACATTACACGCGATAATCAGGAACAAACAGGAAGAACGTATCGTGCGCGTGTTTTTCGATTCGGGTTCTACAAAATTGTACGTGTGTAAAGACCTTATCCGCGTCATGAACTATGAGCCAATCGGCATGTTGAAGCTGAAGCACTCTCTGTTCAGCAACGTGTCTTCAGAAATTAAGGATCACCGAAAATACCTGATTCATATGAGCAGTCTTGATAGAAAATATGCTTGCAACTTCCAAGCCTACGACGAGGACGAAATATGTGCCGATGTTCCTCTATGGGATGAGCAGCCTTGGATGAATGAATTAAAGGAGCTAGGCATACAGTTAACAGACGGACCAGGTGAGTCGAACCATGCTCAGCCAATTAAAATTCTTATTGGAGCTGATATTGCTGGGAAATTAATGACAGGAAAAACCAAGCAGCTCAAATGCGGTCTGACAGCAATTGAAACGCATCTCGGTTGGACTTTGATGGGCAAAACTCCGAATTATGTCGAGGATGGATTCGCAGCCCAGACTACTTCTATGTTACAACGAGAGACCTGCATATCAGATTTATGGAGCCTGGATGTCATTGGCATTAATGATCCGGTTGTCGAAAAATCTCGAAAGGACTATGATGCACAAGTTCGAGAACGTTTTGTCGAGACCGTCATAACCAACGATGAGGGACGTTATGAAGTATGTCTGCCTTGGATTGAATCGCACCCTGCTCTGCCGAACAACCATGATCTTGCGGAGAAGAGACTCGTTACGACCACGAAGAGGCTCAAAGCTTCGGGAATGTATGCTGACTA